CCCTATGTTTCAATAATTGAAATCATGGTTGTAAAATAATTCTCCACGAAAGATGTGAGAGAAGCAACTTTTTCTATAGAGATAGATCTTGAAGATTGCTTAACTTATCCTAATCTACATAGATAAAATCTTGAGAATATTTTGTTTGGAGTAAATGAAATGAGAGTTCATGGATACACTAATGCTTACATCTAGTCAGTCTAGAATGATAGTAAATCTTAACCAGGATATTGGTTTACTCTTAAATGATATGTTAGAAAGGTTCTGAACAAGAAACGGTCGTTGATTAAATAGTGAAAGCCTAATACACCATTGCTTCAGAAGTAGCAAAGAGTTGTGGTGTGGATCAAGATATTTATTAATGAACTTGGAGTAGCTCCTAACATTTTTTATCACATGCCTTTATATTGTGAATGAACTAAGGTCACATCAATGATCAAAACATGTGTTAAGGTGGTATCATCTCATCATAGAGATAATATAAAGAAATGATGTAAAGAAAGAATGGATTCCTACATTATAATGCTGTAGATTCACTGACAAAGAGTTGTTGTAGTATAAACATGATCGTCATGTAAACTATTATGATATAAGATACATAAGTTATTGGATCTAGTGCAAGTGGGAGTTTGTAAATGTTATACCCTAGGTCCTATCAACTTTGGACAGAAAAACTTTTAATATATAATTGATACAATTTTATGACAGATCTATTATTTAACTGTTTAACTAATACTCAATTAAATTAAATAATAGAGTCCATCATTTCAAATTTTGGCATTTGTTAACCACAAAGAGTTGTGATTGTGAGATACAAATTACATATGATTGAATCTTAAATCATCCATGTTCGTAAACAATAACGAGAGACGAATATTGTTATTATAGATAAACCATCACATCTAGCATTTCTTACTTGTGAAGTAAGTAGCTGATCTCACAAGAAATGTGGTAACGCTTAAATGAACGTGTGGATGTTTTGTTATCGAACAAAACACTAGAGACTTGCTGGGAGATTTCAAATGGATGACTATTTGAGTGTTAGTGGTTAATCTCTAACATTAGGTAGTGAAATTGTTCCTTCAATTTAAAGTCATCATAGTGCCTTATATCAGGACAGTCATATTTTGGTGATACTGGATGTTGCTCTATTAAGGACCACTAATACGGCAACGTTCAAGTATGTAAAGAATCATTTGAAGGTTATGAATGACCAAATCACTCTTAGATAGTAAGAGATAATATATCTACATTTTATTCAGTTAAGTTGATAATTAAATCCTTGGCCAAGGTGTTTTCATAAGTTGAAAAGGAGTTTTCAACTTATATTGACTTAATAGTGGGATAAAAGATATGATCGATGATTAAGATTGACACATATCCATATTTGATAATTGATCAGATCATATTGACGCAGGGATTATAGTTTTATGGTAAACAAACAAGTTCGATTTTGTCATACTGGGCGACATTTTTCATTACATGTATGGCCCTAACACATCGCTAGATGTCAATCTGGGATGACAAATGCGAATTAGTGATTAATTAAAAAAGGGTTTTGATTTATCGATTTTGATTATATCAAAATAATAATTTACGTCGTTAGACATCGTGATTGAGAAACTAATGGGTCATACACAAAAGGAGAACTAGAAGAATAATACTTATCAATTAATTAATTAACAAGTGTTAGATAATTGATTAATTAGGTTGCTTATGAATAGCTCAAATTAATTAATTAGATTAATTAATTTATGGACCAAATTTAATTAATTAAATTAATTAAATATTGGACTGAATTATGTTATGAGACAGTTTAAGCTCATTTGAGCTTATATAAATATAAATAAGTTGCTAGGATCTGAAAACTGTAGAGAAAGTTCATATTATTGCCAGCACACGAATGGTAAAAGCTCTAGTTCTCTCAATTTTGCTCTCTGTGTGAATTTTTATTGGATGTTGGACAATTAAACAGCTTTGGATTGTGGACCGTGGGAATTTACTTAATCTTGTACAACAGAATTTAAGCGTTTCAATTCCCACCAAGGATCTGCTTTGTACTTATGTAAAAATCATGATAGAAATTATACCTTTGTTGAACTCTGCGAACTCCTTTACTTTTCTTGAACTCCAATAATCACAATCTACAATCCACAGTTGTCTAATTATCCAGCCTTCAATGAAAATCCACACAAGGAACAAGATTGAGAGAATTAGGGTTTACACCTTTCTTGTGTTAGTAAGAATATGAATTTTTCTCTCTTTTTTGAATTTTTCAAACCCTAGTAGCCTATTTATATAAGTCCAAATGGGATTAGCCCGTCTCATAACTCGATTCGGTCCAATATTTAATTAATTCAATTAATTAAATTTGGTCCATAAATTAATTACTTCGGGCGATTAATAAGCAACACAATTAATTAATTATCCGATACCTTTTAATTAATTAAAAGGTAAATCTCATTCTTCTAATTCTCCTTTTGTGGGTGATCCATTAGGTTCCCAATCACAATACTTAACGACGTGAATTATTATTCTAATCTAATCAAAATTGATAAATTAAAATACCTCTTTTTAATTTATTGTTAATTTACATATGTCGTCCCATATTGCTATCTAGCAATGTGTCAGGATAATACATGTTACAAGAAATGTCGCGTAGTGTAACAAAGCCAAACTTGTTCGTTCATAGTGAAACTATAAATTTTTCGTCAATATGATCCGATCAATTACGAGATATAGAAGTATGTCAATCTCCATTATCGATCATATCTTTCATTCTACTATTAAGTTAATATAAGTTGAAAACTCATTTTTTACACATGAATACATATTAGTCAAGGATTTCGTTATCAACTTAACTGAAAGAAATGTGGATCATAATCTTTTACTATCTAAGAGTGACGAATCCTCCATTGATCATTCACAACCTTCATATGATTCTTGACATACACGAACGATGTCGTATTAGTGGCCCTTAATAGAACAACATCCAACATCACCAAAATATGACTGTTCTCATATAAGGTACTATGATGACTTCAAGTCGAAGGACCAATTCTATTTTCGAACGCTAGAGATTAACCATTAACACTCAGAAAGTTATACATGCAGAATTTCCCAACGGGTCTCCAATGTTTTGCTCTATAACAAAACATCCATGTGTTTATTTTAATGTCACTAATTTAGCTCGTGAGATCAGTTACTTACTTTACAATTAAAAAAGCTACACATGATGATCTATCCGTAATAATGATATCCTTATCTCGTTATTACTTACAACCATGGATGATTTAAAATATAGTCCTATATATTTGTTCCTCACAATCACAACTCATTGTCTCTACGTACTTTATTATTTAATTTAATTGAATATTAATTAAATAATAGATCTACCATAAAATTGCATCAATTATATATTAAAAATATTTATGTCTAAAGTTAATTGGACCTAGAGTATAACACATACACTCTTGACCCAGTCCCAATTGCAGCCTGTACAACTATAGGTAAATAATTTTCTTTCCTTTTCAATACACGAATCCAAGCCTCGAATTTGTTCTTCCACATGCTGTGTTTTTAAATTAATTATTCTTTTTTTGTTTAGTCTTTGATTTCTAATTATCTTCTTCCACGTGCCGTGTGATTAGTCTTTAATTTCTAATTGTTTTTTTTAGTTAACGTATATTCTATATGTAAAATCTATCTGAAAATTACTATTTAATAGTGTATAATTTCAATGGTGAGTCTAATGCAGTTGGACTGAATTTGTGTTTGGCTCAATGAAAATAATCTGATTTATATACATTTTCCTTTTCTTGTATTTTTATGAAGCAATAATGTCCATGTAGGGCTTCAATTTGTAACAATCAGCAAAAAATGGAAGCAAAGGCAGAGCTTAAATGGGGAAAGAAGAAGAACATGAGCCAATGGTTTTAACAAATCGTCCAATCAAATTCCTATATGATGCCATTTTACTTAAGTCTAAATTATAATCACGTGAACTTGTTTAACCAGCAAACAAGCTTCTTTTACTTAACCAAATGGAGGAAGAAGGGAAACGTGTGGAAAATTGTCAGAATTTTGTACCACTTTCTTATTTCCCAATTCTCTAGTAATCTCCCTTATTTTTTCTTCTTTATTGTAATCACTTTTGGTTTAATCAATATAGTTGAAAGCTTGAGTTGTTAAATTCCAGCTCATTATCTATATCTTGTGAGTTTATTGTGGTGATTTTGGCTAAGGTTCAGCTCAATCATTACAAGTGGTATCAGAGTAGTAGATCCTAAACATGAACATGAGGACTAAGGCAGTGGAGGAACAATTGAAAAAGCTAGACAGGGAAGTGGAAGATTTGGGAGAAGCTTTCAAGATGTTAGGCAATAAGTTTGATTCATCATATCAAATACTTAAAAACCTGTACAACAAACAGGATCGAATGGAAGAATTGATGGGAGAAATGAATTCCAAGTATGAATCTTTAGTATCCATGATAGCACAAATAAGTGGCAAAAGGAAAAGCCTAAACAGAAAATAGGATCATCCATGCCTATTTCTTCTAGTGAAGGACTCCTAACGCCAAGGGTAGGAATTGTTGGAAATTAAACTTGATTCATGAATGATGGAAAAAATTAAATTTCATACATGAATTAGTTTACTTAATATTCATGCATTTATGTAAATCATGTATCCAAATAGTTCTTTGTATCCTATTATTCATAGTATATAGGAAAAGTCATTAATTAGTCTCTTAAGTTCATATAATGTATTTGGGATCTTTTGTACCTATAAAAGACCTTGTGCTTGAGACATTTTATGAGCCAAGCCATAGAATACAAATCCTTTTAAGAATTCTCTAAATTTTTCTCTCTAACCTTTCATCCTATAATTCTTTTTTTCCCCAATAAAGTGGTATCAGAGCCATTTCAAAGATGAATAGTTCATTTCCTTTTGTTGTTCCCAAACTAACAAAGGAAAATTATGGACATTGGAGCATACGCATGAAGGCGTTGCTCGACTCACAAGAGGCATGGAAAGTTGTAGAGAAAGGCTATGATGAACCAGAATGTGAATGAGCTTTAAGTCAAGCTCAAAGGAATGGCTTGCAAAGGTACTGCAAGTTACATCAACATGCTCTCTCTATTATTCACATGGGCTTAGATGAAGCCATGTTCGAGAAAGTTGCATCCTCAAAAAAAGCTAAGGAAGCTTGGGAGATTCTTGAGAACAATTTCAAGGGAATTGAAAAAGTGAAGAAGGTTCACCTTCAAATCCTTCATGGGGAGTTCGAATCTTTGCACATAAAAGAGTCTGAATCTGTCTTTGACTATTTCACTAGAGTGTCCTCCATTGTCAATCATAGAAGCGGTACGGGGAGAACATTGAAGAAAGTCGTGTCATTGAGAAAATTCTTAGATCACTTGACTTAAAACTTGAGCTTGTTAGTAGTGCCATTGAAGAGTCTAATGACTTGGATACCATGACCCTTGATCAACTCATGGGGTCCTTGCAAGCATATGAAGAAAGATTGAAGAAGAAAGGAGAATCGGTGGCTCAAGTTCTTCAAACGAATGTCTCCTTGGGAGGTCAACAAAAGGAGCAAGGACGATCTCAAGGAAGAGGTCAAATTCATGGTTGAGGTCGTGGTCGTGGTCGTGGTCATGGTCACGGAGGAAATTATGGTCGTGGTAATGAAAGAAATGATGGAAAACAAAATTTGAATAATGAAGGATCAAGCAATCAATTGAGAGGACGAGGGTGTTGGAACTATAGCTCCAAGAGAGGTGGTGGAAGAAGATATGACAAGTGGAATGTTCAATGTTACAATTCTCATAAATATGGACACTATGCTTCCGAATGTAGGAGTGACACCACCAATAATGAAGAGAGAGTAAATTATGTTGAAGCAAAGGAAGATGAAGAATTGTTGTTGCTATTGGCAACCAAAGAAAAAAAGGATAAACAATCGTGGTACCTTAACACTGGTGCCGCCAATCACATGAGTGGCAACAAGGAGTTATTCTCAACAATAAATAAGTCGGTAAAAGGCAACATTATTTTTGGAGATGAAACTAAAGTTCCAATAAAAGGCAAAGGTAATGTTCTTGTTCGTGCTAAAAATGGAAGTCATCTTTTGATTTCTCAAGTTTATTATGTACCTACTTTGAAGTCTAATATTTTGAGTTTGGGACAATTGCTTGAGAATGGCTATGACATTCACTTGAAGAATCGTTGCCTTACTTTGAGAGATGTTTCTCATAAACTGATTGCAAAGGTGCCAATGGAGAAAAATAGAATGTTTCTACTCAATGTCTTCTACTCAATGTTAATGTTGACCATCTAAGGTGTCTAAAAGCTTGTGTTGAAGACAATTCTTAGCTTTGGCACTTAAGATTTGGTCATTTGAATTTTGGTGGCTTGAAGACCTTGATGAATGAAGAAATGGTGAATGGGTTGCCAAAAATTAATCATCCCAATCAACTTTGTGAAGGATGCCTCGTTGGCAAGCAAAGTAGAAGAAGCTTTCCAAAGGAATCCACCTCAAAAGCAACAAAGCCACTCCAACTTGTTCATGCGGATGTGTGCGGGCCAATCAAACCATTCTCTCATGGTAAAGCAAATTATTTCTTACTATTTATTGATGATTTTTCTCGCAAGACCTAGGTTTATTTTTTGAAGACGAAAGATGAAGTTTTTGGAGCATTCAAAAAATTTAAAGCCTTTGTTGAAAATGAGAGTGACAACTCAATAAAAGCATTAATGACGGATCGAGGTGGAGAATTCACTTCCAAGGAGTTTAACAATTTTTGTGATACCAATGGAATTCGACATTTCCTTATAGTTCCATGATCACCGCAACAAAATGGTGTTGTGGAGCGGAAGAATAGAACCATCCTCAACATGGTTCGTAGTCTGCTTAAGAGCAAGAGTGTGGAGAAGGAGTTTTGGGCCGAGGCTGTTGCATGTGCCGTGTATTTATATAATCTTTCTCCGTCAAGGAGTGTTCAAGACATGACTCCACAAAAAGCTTGGAGTGGTAAGAAACCTAGTGTTTCTCATTTATGTGTTTTTGGTAGTATTGCCTATATTCATGTGCCAAATGAGAGGAGATTAAAACTTGATGAGAAAAGTGAGAAGTTTGTTTTTGTCGGTTATGATGCAAACTCTAAAGGTTACAAGTTTTACAATCCTTGCAATGGAAAGATTGTTATTAGTAGAGATGCGAAATTTGACGAAGGAAGTTCGTGGGATTGAAATGTTCTGAAAAATGAAGAATACGTGATTTTTCCTTTCCAAGAAGGAGACTCTAGCCAAAACGTAAGTGAAGATGCCACTCTACGCCACCTCATTCTCATTCTCCTGCTCCTACTCCTCAATCTCCTCATGATAGTCCCTCCGAAGGATCGAGTCGTATTAGAAATCTTGTAGAAATTTATGAAGAAACTAAAATTGTTGATAATCCATCTTTGTTTTGTCTCTTAGCTGACACCTAGCCATTGAACTTTGAAGAGGCAATGGAAGACAAGAAATGGAGGCATGTAATGGATGAGGAGATCCGAGCAATAAAAAAGAACAATACATGGGAGCTAGCCTCTCTTCTTGAATGGCAAAAAGCAATTGGCGTGAAATGAATATACAAAGTAAAGAAAAATACTCGAGGAGAAGTGGAGAAATACAAGGCAAGACTTGTTGCCAAAGGCTATAGCCAAAATCATGGCATTGACTATGAAGAGGTCTTTGCCCCCGTTGCTCACTTGGAAACCATTCGATTAATCATTTCCTTGGCAGTTCAAAATAAGTGGAAAATTTATCAAATGGACATCAAGTCTGCTTTCTTGAATGGATACCTTGAAGAAGAAGTGTACGTTCAACAACCATTGGGTTATGTTGTCAACGAACATGAAGATAAAGTTTTCAAGTTGAAGAAGACGCTATATAGCTTGAAGCAAGCGCCTAGAGCATGGTATAGCCGGATTGACAAGTATTTTCAAGATCATGGATTCATCAAATGTCCATATGAGTTTGCTCTTTACATTAAAAAGGATGCATTTGGAGGTTCTGTGATTGTGTGCTTGTACATTGATGACTTGATCTTCACTGGCAACAATGAAGACATGTTTGATGAATTTAAGAGAATGATGACTCAAGAATTTAAGATGACTGATATTGGGCTTATGTCATACTACCTCGGAATTGAGGTAAAACAAAATGGAGATAACATTTTTATTTTTCAAGAAGTTTATGTAAAGAAAGTTCTTGAAAGATTCAAAATGCAAAATTGCAATCCGGTGAGTACTCCCATTGGGTGTGGAACAAAGATGCCAAAATATGACGAGAGCACGAAAGTGGATCCATCTCTCTATAGACAACTTGTTGGAAGCTTGAGATATTTGACTTGTACAAGACCCGATATTCTTTATGGTGTTGGTCTTGTTAGCCATTATATGGAGGCACCAACTTTAACTCACTTGGAGATTGCTAAAAGGATACTTCGCTAAATTAAAGGTACCCTTGATTATGGCTTAGCTTATTCTTCTCCTACAAATTTTAAGCTTCATGGTTATAGTGATAGTAATTGGGCTAGTGATATTAATGATCGAAAAAGCACCATTGGATTTTTGTTTTTCATGGGTAACACCGCTTTCACTTGGTGTTCATAGAAGCAGCCCATTGTGACCCTTTCTACTTGTGAAGCTGAATATGTTTCCGCTGCATCGTGTGTTTGTCATGCCATTTGGCTACAGAAATTATTGGAGATGCTTCATATGCCTCAAAACGAAGCTACACCAATTTATGTTGATAATAAGTCAGCTATTGCTTTGGGTAAAAATCCTATGTTCCATGATCGAAGCAAGCATATAGATACGAGATTTCACTTCATTAGAAAGTGCATTGAGAACAAAGAAGTTGAGCTTGCTTATGTGAAGACCAATGATCAAGTAGCAGACATTTTCACCAAACCATTGAAGAATGATGATTTTGCAAGATTGCGTACTTGGATTGGAGTTATCAAGAGGGAATCAAGTTTAAGAAGGGGTGTTGGAAATTAAACTTGATTCATGAATGATGGAGAAAATTAAATTTGATACATGAGTTAGTTTACTTAATATTCATGCATTTATCTAAATCATGTATCCAAATGGTTCTTTGTCTCGTATTATTCATAGTACATAGGAAAAATCATTAATTAGTCTCTTAAGTTTATACAATGTATTTGGGATCCTTTGTACCTATAAAAAGTCTTGTGCTTGAGACATTTTATGAGCCAAACCATAGAATACAAATCCTTTTAAGAATTCTCTGAATTTTTCTCTCTAGCCTTTCATTCCATAATTTTTTTTTTATTTCCAACAGGAATAACAATGGGAAGTACCGCTGAAAAGGGTGAAATAATATGGGGAATAAGCTACCTAAGATTGAATTTCCTTATTTTAATGTAGAAGGACCTAGAGAGTGGCTAAGGAAAGCACGAAAATATTTTCAAATTTACCAAGTTCCCGACGAAGTAAGGATTAGTATTGTTGATATGGATTTAAAAAAGGAAAATAGATATGTCGTTCCATGGCTTTAATAATAGCCACCCGAATAGGGATTGGACCCTATTTGCCACTGAGGTTTATAGGAGATTTCCTGAAACTATAGTGGAGGAAATATAGAAGTATTTAGTAAAATCAAGCAAAAGAGAATATCAGAAATTCTTTGAGGACATCACATCACAGGTTATGCTATCCCTACGACTCATCTGAATCATATTACATATCAGTGTTCAGTAGTGGATTGAAAGAAGAAATCAAATCTATGGTTAAAATCATCAAACCTAACTCCATTTCCCAAGCTTTTGAAGTAACCCATCTATAGGAGAATACCATAATAATTTTGAACAAATCATCAAAAATCTAAAAGAAATCTTCATACCAACCAGGATGGCCCAACATCTCCCAAAAACCCACTGACTTTGCTTCGAAGTATACACCCAACAATAATAATGAACCAAGCCAAAAGATACAAACCCATCCATTGAAGTTCAAAACTATTACTCCATTTGACGTACAAACCAAAAAAAGCTTGGGGTTATGTTTTAGATGCGATGAGAAATACATCCGAGGATATGTTTCTTAGAAAAGAATGCTAAATTTTATGCTTGTTGATTAAAATGATGAGGTGGGTGCTGGGGAAGAAAAAAATCCAGAAAAATAATGAAAAGGGGGATGAGGGTGAGATCATGGAATTTTCCATCAATGCTTTATTTGGAAGTTTAAAGAGCAAAACCATCATAATCCTTGGACAAGTGAAGAGAAAAAGGGTGTCAATCCTCATTGATAGTGGAAGCACTCATATCTTCACTGAGTTAAGATGTAAAGTAGAACCAACTCAATCCGTCATTGTAATTGTGGCCAGTAGGGATAAGTTGAATAGCACTGCAATGTGCAACCTACTCACCTGGACTATGCATGGGATGGAATGTCAATTCTAGTTGAGATATTAAGATTGGGTAGGAATGACATAGTGCTGGGGATAGATTGGCTAGGTTAGATCAATCCAGTGGTATTTGATTTCAAACAAGGCAACATCAAATTCTCAGATCAGTGGATGAAGGTAAAAATAAAGAGTGTACAGTTGAATGAAGAATTTTTTATGATGGAAGAAAGCCAATTGAACCAATGGGTACACAAGAAGCCCTATGGCATTATAGCTCAAATACAGGAAATGAAGGATGAAGAAAAGGACAAAATCCCTATTGCTGTATAGATTATTATTAAGCAAATTTCCGAAATATTCATTGAACCCAAAGGGATGCCATCTCCCATATTTAATGACCATAGGATTTCTTTGAAAGAAGGAGCACAACCCTTTAAAATAAGATCCTATAGATGTCCTTATATATAGAAAACTAAAATGGAAAGGATGGTGAAAGCAATGTTGGAGACTGGAATTATTCAGCAAAGCAATAGTCCATATGCCTCACCTATGTTGCTAGTGAAGAAGAAAGATGGAACTTGGAGATTTTGTGTGGATTACAATAACTAAATAGTATCACCATTCAACATAAATACACCCGTGCCCTTGATTGATAAATCGATTGATGAACTTCACGGATCAAATTAGTTCTCTAAGATTGATATGATGGATGAATATTACCAAATCAGAGTAGCAGAGACACACATACACAAAACAGCTTTCAAAACTCACCATGGCCCATATGAATTTAAGGTGATGCTCTTTGGAATTTCCAATGCACTAGCCACCTTTCAATGTTTGATGAATGAGATTTTTAAACAGTGATGTGAACCAATGTAGCAATAGTAACTCATGTACCCACAAAAGATTGAATCACAATCTAAGAAAGCTAAAACCCCGATTTGAAGCTTGACCGAATAATTTATTGAATCAAGGATCCAAAGTTATGAAAGAACACCCTTATGAATTTGTTGAAGGTCACAAAGATAAAATCTTTGATAAGATCGAAATTAAGTTCAATGAAAAATAAGAGAAAGAAACCTCGCTTTTGTAATTAATCTCTCAATAATGTGTTGTTCTACAATGAAAAGAATGAGCCCCATATATAGGGAACTCGTAAAACCATAATTAAGACATAAAACATCAAGAAAATATAAAACAATTAGAGTTCTAAAAAAAAAGGAAAAATTAAACTGCTTTCAATTTTTTGTATTGTGTGTGCGCACTTTGTATTCTCTCGTATGAGCTGCTTGGTTGATTTGGCTATGAGTTGAAATTTTACACTCATGTGTGCTTGACCTATTTTTCGTACGCGCGCCGCTCTCCGTCTATACTCCAAGCTTTACTTCTTCTAACTTAGCTTGAAGTAAGTGCATTAATCTTAGTTCCTCTTCCACGCCCAACATGAAACATGATGTTTGGCTTGTAAACTTCAAATTCTTGGCAACCGTAGCTTGAACAAGTAAATGCATGGTTTTGTTGATCATATTTACTCGCAATTATGTCATTGGTTCCTCTTCAAGTTGAGTTGGATCTTTGTAAGATTGTTGCCCTCTACGGATCATATCAAAGAGTATTTGAGGAAGTTTGTCTTAGTTTTCCTTGAAGATATCTTGGTATATAACCCTAATTTGGAAACCCATTGTATTCTACCTATCCATTGTACTAGAATCTTTAAAGAAATATTCATTATATGCTAAATGGTCTAAATGTTCTTTTGGGCGATCCAAAAGTAGAGTACTTATGCTACATAACATTAGCAAGAAGAGTATCAGCCAGCCTTCGGAAGGTGAGTGCTATACAACAATGGCCCAAACCCAGTAATGTGAAATAGTTGAGGAGATTCGTTGGTTTGACAGGATACTATAGGAAGTTTGTAAAAAGATATAGGATTCCAGCTAGATCTCCAACTGATATACTTAAAAAGGATTATTTCAGCTAGGGAAAGGATGAAAAAATAGCATTTCGAAAGTTGAAAGCAGCAATACGCAACATTCCAATATTGGCATTACCAAATTTTGATCGGGCAGAATGAAGCCATTCTCAGGTGTAGGATAGGGTGGAAATCCTAGATCTCATATGCTTTTTCATGGCAAATTCAAAATAGAAGAGAGAAAAGACGAGGAAATATTCTTTCCCTAGCCTAAGGACATTGATACCAGGGTTGCTCACTCTGCTGCAAAAGAGAGTAGCTTTCTTCCCTTCAAAAAATGCCAGTTTTACCATCTGGGCCTTTCAAGTGGGAAAATTCTTTTCTAAGGCTTCATTTCATTCCAGCAGCAACATTATGTGGTTATGTTTAGAAAGATGCTTGCCATGGATGAATGTGAGCATTTTTAATGAAAGGCAGGAGACCTATTACTTGCATGCAGAGCCGGTCCTGTGTCTGATGGGGCCTGAGGCGAATGATGAAAAGTAGGCCCCAGCGACAAAATTCAAAGGTGTATTATGTGACTCATTGCTAACTTAAAAAACTAACATTAAAATAACAACGAAATATATTATAGAAACGATTTATATTATAAACCATCAAACCAAAAATTTCAAACAATTAGTTAATCACTATTCGTCTTGCAGTTTTAGAGGCAAAAATATCAATCAAATCTGAGTAACTTAGCTGCTCAACCATTTCTTTTTCTATTGATAATATAGTCAACCCGTTTAATCTTTCTTGCGACACAGTTGATCGGAGATAGGTCTTGATCAACTTTAACTTCGAGAAACTTCTTTCCGCAGATGCAACTGTAACCGGTATGGTTAACAAAATTTGGTAAGCAATATAAGTATTTGGAAAACAAACATTCAATGTCTTCAAATATTGTAGCACTTCAATTGCTTTTGTTGCTTCACTTGGTATATAACACCTCAAGACTTGTAACTCCGAACATAAATCATCCCCACTGATATCTGAACGCCCATTATGTTGAAGATATTTCTCAAGATTCAAATAAGAGTTCAACAAACTTAAAAAAGTTGCACCCTTTAACCTCTTCAAACTAAACAAAAATCCAAATGTGTCATCATATTGTTTGAATTGTTCAAATCAGGTCCTCAGAGAAGATAGAGCTTGATCAATTATAAAAATAAAGTGCTCAACTCTAAAAGATTCTTCTGCTGATTGCTTTACCTCATCACTACCACTTTCATCAAATTGTTTTTTTCTTCGAATTATGCGTTTTTTCTGTAAATACAGCTTCAATTCCCATTTCGCTTGCCTTTTTTGTCGCTTTATCTTTGGCAATAGCAAATCCAATTTCTCTATATTCTTCAAGAAATGAAATAAGTCCTTGCAAGAGGTCAATAGCATGATCAATATCCATGGATTCGGTTTGAAGAAATTTACTCACAATATTAATAGCATGCAACAATCTGTACCAGATTATCATGCCAAACAAAAACTCAAAATTTTGAAGTTCATGTGTTGCTAATGACTCGGCTTCACTCTTCACTTTAGGATCTTCATTACTTTCTGCTAAATCAAGTAATGCATCTCTTATCTGTGCAGTTTGCTCCATTATAGTCTTCACACTTTCAACATGACTTTCCCAACGTGTTTGTGACAATGGCTTCACTGTCAACCCTTGTACATTACCTTTGAAAATTTTCCATCGCTTGGTAGAAGAGGAAAACAATGTGTAGATGCGTTGTATCAATCCGAAGAAGGATACAGCTTTGGAACAACAGTTCACCATATCACATAATGCTAGATTTAGACTTGAACGACACATGGAGTATAGAAAGCTCAGGGATTCATTTCATGGACTCTTCTTTGCACACCTTTGTACTTCCTGCTCATGTTAGATACGTTGTGATACCCTTGCCCTCTAATGTCATCAATATCGAAATCAATTTTTATCAAAGCCTTTTGAAGCTCGATTGTAAGTCCAAGTCCTGTTGTATCATCTACCTTCAAAAATTCTAGCCAATGTTCTTGAACTGTAGGTAAGTTTGTCGAATCATCTACAAATCGTACAATTAAAAACATTTGCTCCTCCTGACTTGCATCTGGAATACAATCAAGCATAACTACGAAATATTTTGCATCTTTAACTTTCTTGACAATTAAACTTCTCACCTGATTAGTCAACAACTGTATCAACTCATTTTGAATTTTTTTGCCAATATACGTATATTGAATCTCTCTTGCTTTAGCCCGCCGAAGGTGCTCTTGCATTACTGGATCACATTCACCAACCATTTCAACAATTTGTAAAAATAGGCCATTGTTCTCAACATGTAGCCTCTCATCATCTCCTCGAAATGGCAATGTGTTTTTTGCAAGTCTTTTAACAATAGCGATTATCCTTGTTAATACATGTCTCCAATGTTCTCTTTCGGCATTAATCAACAATTCAACGCTTTTATCAATTGTAGTTTTTGATCAAAACCTATTTTCCAATTCAATCCTACTAGTCATGCAACATAAATGCTCTTCATTTCCTTCATGACTTTTAATAGACCGATGCAAATTATGCTAATCTTTTAACCCATCATTACCTAGTTGGCCAACTTTTGTCACATTTATTGGTGTTTTAAACAATTTGCAACAAAAGCAGAAGATCATGTCCATAGACACTGAATATACTAGCCATATTCTATAAACTTTGTTCCCATTTGGTAGCAATCACTTATATTGTGAAGAATTGAAATGTCTATTTGTATAGTCTTTCGGAAACGAGATGTCATCAACTCTTTTTGGATCCCTTTCAACTAAGTAATCCCTTGTTCTTTGATCAATAATTTTCCAATTCCCGAGATCATCCAAATTTAGAGAAAAGCAACCCTTTTCTTCCTTATCATCTTCTTCATTATTAGAGGCGAGCTTCATCAATTCCTCTTCCTTATCATCTACTTCGTTAACATCGGTAGGTTGACTCACTTTTTCATCCTTTTCCTCATTCAACGCATTCACATTGTCACTTTTGAAGTTCTTGCTACTATCCCCTGCTTGACTTTGAATTAATACAATTTTATTTCATTTTCTTTTCCTCTTTTGAGCACCAAACTCGTATTTAGGAGGCATAATAATGTCCAATGATTAGCCTAAAAGACAATTACAAAATAACTCAATCATCTCACATTTATAGTTTCCAATATAGTTATTACGTGCGCCTGTGCAATTGTTTATCCTACAATAAGCAATCATATAAGCCGACCAGGCTGCAATTATATAAGCCGACAAGGCTTCAAGCATTTCCAATTTCTTCAATAACAACTTAGGGTAAGCCATTGCTTACTTGATAAGTGAAATTTTGATGAAAATTGTGGAATTACACCCTTAAGAATGATCCCATTTTCTGAACTGGTGGTAAGTTGATCTCAATTTTTGAATTGTGTCAACGATGCTCTAGCATAGCAAAAAGAAACATGTAAGGAAATAACAAGTATAGGATGGATTAAAATGAAAGAAATAACTAGTATTTGATGAATTATAAAACTTCAATTTAGTTAAAACATGGATGTTACTAGATCAGAGAACCACAAGCTTAACCAGATTAGACAAGGAAAAAAGTCAATAAAAAAACAAATATTTTGGATGAATTTAAGCTACTGAAAACTTAGGGGAGTCGAGCAGGCTGTAAAAACAAGATATTGAATCTATCTACAGAAACTAGAGGAAACATAATGCTAGAGAGATGAACAAGTGCTTTTCACCAAGAAATTAATGAGGAAAAAAACACGTCAATTAATATTTAGCTGCATATCACTAATCTACAGCTGGACCATTGTGCTTTCAAGATATTTTTTGTTCTAGCAATCTCTAAATTCCATGCTTGTACTTGGTTTGGGCTGTGGTGGCTTTAAAAAATTTCTTATTTGACAAAAATATATACTTACAAAAAAAAAAAATCAGTCAACTTAGAAATAGAATACTAATTACTTTCGCATCAACAACAACAATGGCAGAGTGAACCTTAATAAATATGGGGTTGATTACATGGATTCTATTTTGCCACTCTGTGCGGTTCATTTTAATGTTACGTCAACCCAAAAATACAATGAAATCAAATCTTTGCAACCACATTAGGCCATTTTAATTTTGTAGTTTGGATGCATTTGTTTTTGGAAAATAGGAAATGATTTGTTAACCATTTGTTTCTTATTTAATTAACTATTATCTCAATAGAAATTATAGATTTCAGTCTTCATGCAGCTTATCATTATTGACCTGCTAAATCTCTTTCTTTGATCGATATTTAGTTTCATCATTTTATTCTTGTCCCCCTTAAAAAAATTCTTTGTTGATTTTTTATTTTCATGATTGAAGGGTGAAAAAAATTTCTCTACAAATTCATATCTTTGCGTCGCTAAAGATTACTTTAGATTTCCATGGAGAACATAATATCCATAGATTCACCTTTAATATATAATTGTTATAATCATTCTGGAATTTGGTAGATATCTTTAATTTCGGTTCATAGACTGAGTATGTAGAATTGCCCTAAAGTACCACCCACTTCCCTCATCCTTGAGGAACACTTTGATAAGCGACGTCTATTTTTATGTTGTTTCCTCTATCTTTTCTATGAAACTTAACTTTCCAATCATTTTGATTGTTTTTTCAAGAACCTTTTGATACTATCTTATTTATTGTATGATTCTTTCCATATGATTGGTCTGATCCTCAGAAAGACAGGAATCCAGCATCTATTTACCAAAATTTTAACTGTAGAAAGTGAAGCAAATTTTAGGTACCTGTAGAAGTTTAGAAAAGTGCATCTTTCATTTATCATTTTCTTGTCATTGGAAGAAATGGAACAATTTAGAAGTATATCTAAATTTTTCCCGATTTTGATTCCATTATAGTAGAACGAGTGTGGCCTTAAAAGTTTAAAGTCTCTTATATCTGTACTCTTTTAGTCTTTGGAAAATAGTATGAACACAAGATATTGGAAGTAAAGGGGAAAGATTATATCAATCTTATCACAGTGGAGCCGTGGAGGTGAGAAATAGAACGAGAAAACAAAATAAAATTAAAAAATTGTAAAATCTCATAGCCTTGCAGACTTTGCAGTTGCAGCAACCAGCAAGTACGGGCTCTGCGTGCCAGTGTAGTGGAGGGAAGGGGATTTCTGTGGTCAGTGGACCTGCAGGTTGCGGAGGCGAGCAGCGAAGTCGGCAGCAGAAGCCAGAAGAAGGGCCAAGGCAGATAAGATTCGTGGTGGACTCACCGTCACTGTTACTCACATCACTCACCGGACTGTGTCACTGTGGAGAGAGGAGTGACGGTGGAGTCACAGTCATGAAAGTCGAAGGCATTTGATATGAATTTTCAGATGAATTATTTGGGAATTTAGGTCAATGGATTGGATTTGATTTATCTAAATGGATTGTTGGGTTGGGATTGGTTTAGTTATTGGATTGGGCATTTCATTTGGTCCGGATGAACTATAAAAGAAAAAGGGGCCAAAATGAGGCCCCCTAAGATCTTGGGCCTGAGGCGCAGGCCTCATTCGCCTCGGCCCAGGATCGGGCCTGCTTGCATGAGTAAAAGCATTCGCAATGAAGAACTAGGGATATCTATAAATGAGAATGAGTTCAAAACCTTAGGCACTATAGTAAGAAAATTGATGCATTACTTGGAGGGACACCATTTTGTCATCAAAATAGATCATCAGTCCCTAAAATATCTACTGGAGCAAAGGATCACTACTTCCTTCAAATAAAAATGGCTAACCAAACTACTTGGGCTTAGTTTTGAAATTCAGTATAAGAAGGGGATGGATAATATTGTAGCTGATGCACCATCAAGAATGGAAGAACCAAATATGTAGGTTGCAACAATTTTCCATGTAATTTCTACTTGGATACAAGAGGTAATAGAGAGCCACACGGGAGATGAGGTATTTAACCAAAAATTGAAGCACCGTTGATTGATCTTGAGGATATTTTGTATTATACCTACAAGAATGGATTGCTAAAATATAAAAGAAAATTGTATGTGGGGTTAGAGGGACAAATAAGGGCAAAGCTGACACAAAATATCCGTCCATCCTAAAATAGAGGTCATTGGGGGCATCCAAACCAGTGTCTATGGCGCTAAAGAGTGACAAGAGTTGGTTCAATGAATCTTCCTAGTATGTATTGCTTTCCTTTATATACTATTGAAAAGAAAATTAAGGAAAAAAGTTCGCTGTACAAAATTAATGTTCTTAATTCTAAGGCAACTACCAATTCTATACGAGTTATACATAGAAACCTCTAATAAGCTATAAATAATCTAATATCCCCCTCAAATTTGCTGGTGATTCCAATAGCATCAATTTTTCGATGAGAAAAGCATGATGGAGGTGAGGCAAGGATTTGGTGAAGATATTTGCGATCTATTGGGTAGGGAAAATGTGGGGAAGAACTATGAACTTGGAATCATATGCGTCCCGAATCTAATGACAATCTACTTTAATATGTTTAGTACGTTCATGATGCACAAGATTAGTCACAATCTGAATAGTACTAGTGTTGTCACCATGGAGAGGTATAGAAGGGAACTCCAAGTTCCACTAGAAGGCCACGCAACTGACATAGCTTGGTATTTAGCCTCAGTGAAGGACCTATAAATGCAATCATGTTCCTTATATTTACAAGAAATATGAGCATCATCTAGAAAGATACACCACCCAGTCGAAGATCGACAATAATCAGGATAACTAGCTCAATAAACATCACTATAAGAGGTGAGCTCAAGAGACGTCCTCCTAGTAAAGAATAGACCACAATGAGGAGTCCCAATATGATATCTAATAATACGGTGGACAACTACCAAATGAAGATGACAAGGAGCATCCATAAATTAGTTGACAATATGTAAAGCGAAAGAAATATCTACAAGTATGATGGTGAGATAGATGAGACTCCCTACCAACCTCAGGTATAGAGTAGAATTTGGAAGAATATTGTCATCATCTTTTCAGTATTTAACATTAATTTACAACTGAGTATCAACTGAGGAGGCTTTAGATAAATTAGCCAACCCAATCAAGTCTTGAATGTATTTATGTTGATTTAAGAAGGCATCATATGGTGCTAAATGAACCTCTAAGCCAAAAAAATAAGTAAGACAACCATGGTCTTTCATATGAAAAATAGAGTGAAGATGCTGTTGAAGCTTCTGAATAATGATGTGATTAGAGCTAGAGATATAATATCATCCACATATACCCATAAGAAAATGATGCCAACAGTGCTTTTGTGAATAAACACTGATGTGTCATATTGATTTTGGGAAAAGGAAAAATTCGAAAGAGTACGACAGAACTTTTCAACCATGCTTCAGTAGCCTGTTTTAGATTATATAAAGATCATTTTAGTTTACATATAGATTCAATTGAAGGAATAAAAAAATGCTCGAATGGTACGATCCCTCCGTCACCCCAGAATGAAAGGGGTGATCTCGTAGCGATCACTTAGAAGGTATTGTTAAAAGATTATCAATTCCTAATAAAATGGATGTAGCAGTAGCTTGGTGGATGTCGATAAATCTACAAGTCTAGAAATTCATTTCGGCCAATTGTACTGAGTTATAAAGTATGAACTATCCCATTGCTGTTGCAACACCTCCTAAAAAAGTGAACTTATGAAGTCTCGTTTCTATAGTGGACCAATTCGTTAACATACTATTGAGCCATTTTTTATGAATTTCTCGAACTGAGTAATCCATGAATCGGGATCCTTGCTTCCGTCAGGATAAATCTGACCCCTCCCCCTGTTCCCGGCTACGTATATAGGATATTTTAAGAAGTGCACATCTTTACCTCGTAATCGTAAAAAAATGGGTTTTTTAGTTATGCTCTTATTGTACAACCTGAGAATAGACAGCTAATGTCGGAATGATTTGGAAGATCCAAAACCATTTTTTTTCTGATCTTTCGAGAAAAAGATTCATGAAGAAATTGAATAAAAAATGAAGGAAAAGCTGGTGTAGGCATACTAGATGAAAGTTGCATATAGATGTCTTCGTTGAGATCTCCATGTAAGAATACGTTCTTTACATCCATTTGATGTAAAAACTAAGATCAAGACAGCAAGTGATAACAAGGGATAAACGGTGGTCATTTTAGCCATGGGAGCAAATGTCTTATCATAGTCTATTTCATATTCTACATTTATCGTCGCTTCTAACACTTGTTCTATAGCCTATCTATAGGATAAATGAATGGAAATCGAGTTAAGGATAGCGAACATAGAGCTATTGTGGTCGATGAATGCGAAAGTATGACAAAGACTGATAGG